TGTGTCTGATGATGCCATCCGTCTTCGGATGTTCTCATTTTCTCTGCTTGGGAATGCATCACACTGGTTCCAGAACTTGACACCCCGTTCCATCACAACATGGGGTCAGCTTGAGAAGACCTTTTTGGATAAGTACTTTCCTCCTGCCAAGGCAATGAAGAGGCAAGAGGAAATTGTCACTTTTAAACAAGCTGAGGATGAAAGTCTGACCGAGGCATGGGAGCGCTATAAGGAGCTTCTAATGAGATGCCCGAGCCACGGTCTTGAAGATTGGAATGAGATCTCCATCTTCTTCAACGGAATCAGAAGACAATTTCGAGATGCTCTGAATAATGCTTCCCGAAATGGTTTCACAAGAATGGAAGCACCAGAAGCATATGAACTGTTGGAGAAGATATGCTCTAAAGATACTGAATGGGGTAGTGAGACCGGCATTCGAAGGAGATGAGGCTTGCATGAGATAGACAGAGTTGCAAGTTTAGAAGCAAAGATTGATGCTAAGTTGGATTCCAAGTTCGATGCACTCGAACGAAGGCTGGCTAAGATGGCTCTTGGTAGACAGCAAGAGGTTGCTTTGTGCGAATTATGTGAAGGTGCACATCATAGGGATCTATGTCCACTGGTAGCTGATCAGTTGGAAGATGTGCACTATATCAACAATCAACAAAATCAAGACCAGGGTGGTATGTATTCAAATACCTACAACCCGCAATGGAGGAAGCATCCTAACTTTTCCTGGGCAAACAACAACCCAGCTGGTGCTCGCAACATTGCTCCTCCAGGCCTGCAGAAACAACAACCTCAACCAGAGAAGAAACCACAACTTCAAGAATTGCTTCTGGCTCACATGCAGAAAACCGACAATAATCTGAAGGGTCTTGATCAATTTGTCACTCAACAGCTAGCCATCAACAATAATATGCAATCATCTATGCTAGCTATGGAGAGGCAAATAGGCCAGATGGCTCAAACTTTGGCAGATATGCAAGGCAGGATTCCTGGGACATTACCAGCAAATACTGAGAGGAATTCGAAGGATGCCATGGTTGTAGCCGTCACATTGAGGAGTGGAAAGGCCTTGGAAGACCCTAGCAGCTCGAAAAAGGCACCAGAGGCAGAAGAGGAAGCACCGGAAGAAAGATCTTGTGCAGAAAATGAAGAATCAGCCTTGCACAAGCAAAATGAAAGCGGTTTGCCTGTGCAAAAGCATGCTGCCCGTGTACCTCAAAAAGTGGAAAAATTGAAGAATGAAGAGGTAAAACCTTATGAACCTCCCGCACCATTCCCTCAAAGGTTAATGAAGCCCATGGAAGACCCAAACTTCAAGAAATTTGTGAATATCTTCAAGCAACTTCAGATTAACATACCCTTGGCGGAGGCACTTGAACAGATGCCTACATATGCTAAATTCTTAAGGGAGTTGCTGACAAAGAAGCGAAAATGGGCTGATCTAGAGAAGGTAACCCTTACTTCTGAATGTAGTGCTGTGATTCAGAATAAATTACCAGAAAAGAGGGATGATCCGGGCAGCTTCACCATTCCATGTGTCATTGGAGGTACAGAATTCAATAAATCACTTTGTGATCTTGGAGCAGGAATTAATTTGATGCCATACTCAGTCTACAAGAAATTGGGATTGGGAGATGTTCTTAAGCCTACTCGGATCACTCTCCAATTGGCTGATCGATCAGTAAAAATTCCAAAAGGAGTGGTGGAGAATGTATTGGTGAAGGTGGGGAAGTTTATTCTCCCAACAGATTTTGTAATTCTGGAGATGGAAGATGATCGGGGAGTGCCTCTAATTCTCGGTAGACCTTTTCTAGCAACCGGTGATGCACTCATCGATGTTGGGAGAGGCAAGTTGACATTCCGAGTAGGTGAGGAGGAGGAAATTTTTAATGTCTTTCAAGTTGATCATAATCACGATGCATTTGATGACTTTGAAAGTGGAAGTCGAGAAAGGAAAAAATCCTCCTCCTGTGATAGTAGACCACCAGAAGAATGTTCACATGTCCTAGCAGCTCAAAGTCTAAAATCAAAGCAAGGGCAGAAATCCTTGCCAGGACACCTCAAGTATAGATATTTGGGTAAGGATTTCAATCTTCCTGTTATTATTCCTTCTTCACTGACATTGAAACAGGAAGAGTACCTGCTTGAGGTGCTGCAGTACCACCTACGCCTCACTAAAGGGTCTAACATGCCAGCTAAGAAGGTCATACCCAATTTTCGCACACCTGGCCCTGCAGAGGTGACTCATATGTTGGATGGAGGTTATGCATTCTATCATTGCTCGGGAGGGTATTCTGGATACCTTTCCATACCCATTGGTTGAAAGCTCCATGAACGTCAGGCTGAGGACGTTAAACAAGCGCTTCTTGGGAGGCAACCCAAGGTAAGTTTTCTTTTCTTTAATTTTCTTTTTAGTTGTGTCAAACCCGGGCATGTTTAGATTAGGAGTTGAACATTAGGGACAATGTTCCATCCTGAGTGTGGGGTGGCAAGTCTTAGTGTTTGTTTGTTCCTTTTGTCATGTGGGCGGTAAAAAAAAAATCCAAAAAAGAAAATTCTGTCATTTGCCTGTGCAAAAATGCAGTTTGCCTGTGTAAAAAGCATGATGCCTGTGCAAAGCTAATGGCTAAAAAACACCTAAAAATAAAAAAAAAATTAAAAACAAAACCTTGTACTCTTGTGGTAACATGATGAAAATGACTGTGATGCGTGTGAAATGAGTTTGTACTCGAATGAAATCATCAAAATCACCCCACTAGTGTTGAATTGCATAGTTCTTCACAATGAGCTTGAATGTTTTGACTGACTTGATATGCTTTAAATGAGCAAAATCTTTTAGCAACATTTTCTTTTGTGAGGATAGTGTAATGACTTTTGGTGAAGTAGTTAGGTGGAGAACATTGACCATTCGACATGTTTGGATACCGTGCTTACTTGCATCAATTGTGAGCTTTTGATTTTGCAATGAGTCTCTCTGTTTTGAATGTTTTATGATGGGGTGAACTGTATCTTCTTAAAAGAAAACACTACCTGACAAGTAAAATATAAGAAAGTTGCCATAACAATTAAAGTGTGGGTAAAAATGCCAAAATCGTGTGAGACAATCACTCATTGCACATGGGGATGAGGAAAGATTCAATTGAGAATCGGTTCGCGACCGTACGATGTTGCTTATCAAGTACGATCCCCAGTTGAGTGAAGTGCCATTTGAGGAGCAACGACCCTCCACACGGACCGAGGAAAAGGAGTTAAAAGAAGCCCTTATGCGAGTGCTAAGAAGCAGAAATTGCTCTTGCTCGGTCACCGGTAGTAAGAAACAAATCCCACTTGTACTAAATACGACCTCTCGGCAAGCCAAAGCAGAAAGAGAGAAAGCCTCTCCTTGTCATAAAAGGTAGTGATGTGCTTAAAATTAAAATCTTGTTTGCGAAAGGCTTCCCCCATTAGTTTTTGAGACTCATGCTTTGTTAATTGCTTATGATTGGTGTGAGTAAGCCAGATTGTCCTCACGAGATATGCACCTCACTGATGTGGTTAGATTCTCCTAATAATTGTTGCACCATAAGTTGTTAACCACCCACTACCGACGATCGAGGTTGAGTGTTGCTATTTGAGTTTTTGATGGATTTGAGTCAGTCAATGGTAATGGTTGCAAAGACCTTGAGTGTGGGGTGAAAGGTATGACCATTAGAGCACAACTTATCCGTTGATAAAGAAACTACTGATTACAATAAGAGTACAAGGAAAATTTTGTTTTGTTTGAGTGTTGAGTCTGTAATGTGTCATTGTTTTGGATGGTTATGTGTTTGTGTTGTTTGAGTCGTTGCTTAGGGACAAGCAACAATTGAGTGAGCATTGTGGAAAGTTTTATTAGTAAGGTGTTTTGACTATGATATGCATTGTGAAATATAAGAAACACAGTACCATGGAAATTACTTGATATAAGCTTTGTGAGTGGCTTTCTGGGAAAACCGCCAAATAAATCTATTCCAAGTTTGGAAAGTGAAGTGGGATAGCATCCAGAGATTCTACTTAAGAAGGGCTATCAAGTGGTTTCACAATGGAACAACAATATTTTTTTTTTATAATGTGGAAAAACAAATTTATGAGAAGGCAAAATCATCCGTATAATCGAAACTTTCTCGATACATAATATCATTTTCGTTGAAATCCATTATGTATAGAGTAAAACACAATACACGTTGAAGTTATATACTGTACCGGCCAACGAGCCGGGCCCAATGCTAGTAAATAAATAAATCAGTATCACATCATTTCCCCTTGCGTGCAAATAAATAAAAACATATGCAAGCAAAAAGGACAATTTCATTTTTTTTATTACAACAAAATTTTAGTTACTATAATAAAAATAAATAATGAATTTGCAGAGATTCCCCTTCTCCAAAAAAAAAAAAAAAATCCCTCCAGCAGTCCAGCTCCAGCTCCAGCTCCTAGTTTTCCATTGCTGTCACTTTCCCCCCTCTCTCCATTTTCTCAGCACTTTTTCCTTCTCCCCAAACATCCCTTCCTCCCCACTAGCTTCCACTTTTGTTCTCATTTCTTCATCCTTCCCGAGAACTTGTCTTCTCCCTCCTTGGATGCTTCTTCTTTCCCACTTCTCGATTCAAAACACTCCCCCCTTTCTTTCTTCCCCTCTTTTGCCTCGCGATTCCAAAAATTCCCTCTCTCTATCTTCAAGCAAACTTCCCTTTTCTCGCCCTTCTTTTCAGTTCCTCCCTCTCCCGCTTGTCCTGTCTTTACTCGCGGCTAACGGCGGGAGTAATGATTTGAGCTCGAGGTGGGCTTTTCCGCGTTCAAAATTTGAGCTTGGTGAAGAGGGAAAGGGAAAGCGGTATTTTGGAGCTTTTCCCTTATGTGGATTGAATTTAGGGTTACGATTTAGTTCGTGGGTGATTTTGGTTTCTTTTCCGGAATAGGGAGAGAGGTGAAAGCGATAGAGTAGAGAGATAGACAGAGCGAGGGAGGGAATTATGCCACTGGAGGTTGAGGATGGAGGAGGAGTTCAGTACTCTTTTGCTCTCGAATACGACGGTCCTCCGGTACTGTACGATCTACCTCAAGCTGTCCCGATCAACGTCAGCGAAATCCCTGTAGCCGCCGTCGTCTCGCCGCTCGCTCTCCCTGGTAGGTTTCCTTTGCCTGTTGTCAAGCCGCTGTTGGCCGCCAGCGAGGATCCGAGCAAGGTTCTGGGGACGAAGGAGCTCAAATCTGTGTCCGTGTCACTGTCACCGACTTCCGTCATTGGTAATTTGAACGGGGAGGAATCGAGGTCGGATGAGACGGCGTCCACGGTTTCTCCGACTTCGGTAATCGAGAGGGCAGCGGAGAATAATCCGGAGTCCGGCGAGTTGAGTAGCTCCGGCGGGTTGGAGTTCTCGACTGGGCGGTACGGACCCAGCAGCTCGGGCGCCATTGAGTTCTCCGGCAGCTTCGGTAACAAGTCGCGGGAGAGTTTGGGCACGGTTAGGGTTTCGGAGGAATTGAATCAAGAGTGGGCATCGAATGAGTCGGTTCTCAGCATCGAGTACCCTTCTTCCCGGGTTTCCAGTGTCAAAGCAGCCGCTGGGGAGTGTCACAGCGAGTTGATTAATGGTCATGGAGATGGCAGAAGATCCCAAGTTGTCAAATTTGCTAATGTCGATTCGGATGGAGACGACCTTGGAGATGGCGAAGTTGACGACGAAGAGTACTGCGAAGAAGAACAACCCAGGATTGTGCAAGTTAAGAGAGAGCCTCAGAGCAAAGGGAAGAAGGGAACTTGTTATAGATGCTTTAAGGGGAATAGATTTACGGATAAGGAGGTCTGTCTTGTTTGTGATGCCAAGTATTGCAATATTTGTGTGCTTAGAGCTATGGGATCCATGCCTGAAGGAAGAAAGTGTCTTAGTTGTATCGGGTACCCTATCGATGAATCCAATAGGGCTAATCTAGGGAAATGTTCAAGAATGCTAAAAAAGTTGCTGAATGATTTGGAGGTTCGCCAAATAATGAAGGCGGAGAAGTTCTGTGAGGCAAATCAGTTACCTCCAGAGTATATCTGCGTGAATGGGATGCCTCTTTGTCACGAGGAGTTGGTCCTTCTTCAGACTTGTGCTAACCCGCCAAAAAAGTTGAAACCGGGGAACTATTGGTATGATAAAGTATCCGGTCTTTGGGGAAAGGTAAACATGGTGTAGACTTTGGAAGATCATCATTTTATTTCTTAGTTAGCATTCCTTTACATGATGAGGGTTCAACAGATGCACTGATCGTGAAATTTACAGGAGGGACAAAAGCCTTGTCAAATCATTAGCGCTCATCTAAATGTGGGAGGTCCAATAGATACAAATGCCAGCAATGGAAACGCAAATGTTTACATTAACGGTCGGGAGATCACCAAAACCGAACTCCGAATGTTGCAGGTCAGAAGTTGGAATGTTCACTATTTATTATTGGATTTGGAAGCGACTTGATATCCGTGATAGGTAATTGAAATGTCGATTCAAACATTGCAGTTGGCAGGAGTTCAATGTGCTGGCAACCCTCATTTCTGGGTAAACGAGGATGGGTCATACCAGGAAGAAGGTCAGAAGAACACTAAGGGCTACATTTGGGGCAAGGTATGGTTTGCTGCCGAAATGGTTGTGCTTCAAATTATGCCTTCTACTTATAATTTCATTGGTTGGTTTTTATTTATTTGGAAACTTGCTTTTCAGGGTGCAATGAAGCTTGTCTGTACATTCCTGTCATTGCCAGTTCCTTCTAAATCTTCTAATTATTCCGAGGAGCAAGTGAACAGCCTACTGAGCAGAAGTATTCCTGATTATCTCGAGCAGCGGACACTTCTGAAGTTTCTCTTAGTTGGATGTAGTGGATCTGGAACAAGTACCATTTTCAAGCAGGTAGCGTAGCAAATTGTACCTTTCATTCACTATGTGCTGTAGCAGATGGATCTTCTGGCTGTAGTTAGACAAGCTATTATCTAGGAAGAGTTAGTTTCCAGCTTGATGAGCTCTAAATATTTTAATAGAAGAGCAAAGTTGATCGAACGAAATGTCTTTTCAGGCGAAGATTCTTTACAAACCCATTCCTTTCACCGAGGATGAACGTGAAAATATTAAGTTGACCATCCAAAGCAATGTGTATGGTTATCTTGGTATTCTCCTTGAAGGCCGTGACCGTTTTGAAGAGGAGAGTTCGTCTGAAGCAAAGAAAGAACAATTGTCAAATCACACCGATTCCACTGGTAAGCTTTACATTTCAAGTCTTATCACAGTGTAAAGTTTTTCTTTGTATTTGTCACATGTGGCAGTAAAATAATTTATCAACAAGTAAGCTGAACGATATTGTTGGCTGATAACAGGTGATGGTAGTAATAGCTCCAAGACCGTATACACTATTGGGCCGAGGCTAAAATCATTTTCAGATTGGCTTTTAAAGACCATGGTGTCTGGAAACCTGGAAGCAATTTTCCCTGCTGCCACTCGAGAATATGCACCGTTGGTTGAAGAGTTGTGGAGAGATCAAGCCATTCAAGCAACATACAAGCGAAGAAGTGAACTGGAAATGCTGCCTAAAGTAGCTAGCTATTTCTTAGAGCGGGTAATGATAGCAGTTCAATGGTTCTTTTAGATGGTTAAGAATTTAGTTTTAAATTTGATTGGTCTGGTATGCTTTCCTTCCTCAGCATCCCATGTGTAGATTAAGTCTAAAAGTTTATACTTGTGAAAGGGACGTTTTATAGGATAATCTCTCTTCGGTTTGTTTATGCTAAAATCCCTGTTTTTTTTTCTTTTTTCGTACAGGCAGTTGAGATATTAGTACCAGACTATGAACCCTCAGATTTGGACATCCTCTATGCTGAGGGTGTTACTTCATCTAATGGTTTGGCTTCTCTAGACTTCTCATTTCCTCAGTCAACATATGATGACCATGACGAGCAGCTTGATTCTCTGCTTAGGTGAGTTTGATACCTGAAAGCACAAAGTCTTTGCTTTGAATCTTGTAGTACTTGCTGGTTGTTTGGATTTTGGATTTTAAAAGTGATGTAGCACACACTCGTGAATTTTCAATCCACACTTATGAGTTGCGAAGTTTGGTGTTTGGATGCTGGATTAGCTGATTGATTACTAGAAATGGATTGATTGAGGCTTCAAAAGATAAGTCGACCTCGATACCTCTGTAATACTTATCACTCATGAATCTAAAAAATGAAGACTGGAAAATAGACTTTAGGAGGGATGAATGCCAGGACCACACAGTGTAAATGTTTTTAAGTTCAACGGACCATGGATTTGGTGCCCTCGTGAATTGATAAGTTCTTGGAGTTGATATATGTATGTTCCACCAAATTAGGGGTTTGAGCAGAACCCTCTTTGATTTGGTGCTCAAATTGATCACTCAAGCCAACTCCAAATGTGAAATGACTCCTTGATCAGTACTGGATATCGTGCTAGGCTGAATTGAACCAAGTTGTTATTTGGATAGAATCACATAATAGATTTTTTATTCCATAAATCTGCTTAGAAATAAAGAAAATAAACGGATCGAATCAGACGACTAGTGTTTTTTAGTTGACTCAATTCGTCATTTCTCTTTATTTGTATGCAGTCCTATGCTGGTTCAATCTGATTATGGAACGTACCAGTGTACACCCTTAGTATTGGAAGTCTCTGTTTCTTACTATCGTTTGCTTATTCCTTAGCTGATTAACCTTCTTTGTTTGTCCAGATACCAACTGATCAGGCTGCAACCACGAGGAATCACTGAAAACTGCAAGTGGCTAGAGATGTTTGAAGACATTGGGATGATCATCTTCTGTGTCTCCTTGAGCGACTATGACCAGGTCTCTTTTGATATCAACGGTTCTCCCACCAACAAGATGATGCAGAGCCGAAAGTTCTTTGAGACCATCGTGACACATCCGACATTTGAGCAGATGGACGTCCTTTTGCTGCTAAACAAGTTCGACGTGTTTGAGGAGAAAATGGAGCGGGTTCCGCTGACGAAATGTGAGTGGTTCGACGATTTCCATCCCATCATAAGCCACCATCGTTCGACCAGCAACACCCGCAGCAGCAGCAACATCAACCACAGCCCTTCGCTCGGCCAGCTGGGTTTCCACTACGTTGCTGTGAAGTTCAAGCGGCTTTATGCATCGCTCACTGGTCGAAAGTTGTTCGTCTCGATGGTCAAAGCTTTGGAGCCCGATAGCGTCGACTCGTCCTTGAAGTATGCAAGGGAGATCATGAAGTGGGAAGAAGAGAGACCAAATTTCAGCTTGAGTGAGTATTCTATCTACAGCACCGAAGCGAGTTCATACTCTCCTTGATCGAGCATGTTCGGGAATTGCTCCACACTGTGTACATAAAATGGCCGTGTAAATGAAGCAAGTTAAAAGCCAGATATATGAATGTACAAGCTATCTCTTATTAGGTACCACAATACCATGCTTGTCTGTTTTATTTGTTTTCCCCTTGATAGATGATTACCAAAGACCTTCGTCACAGATTTGGAATTGGAAAGCAGTGAGAAGTGTTCGGTTTTTCGTGATTGTAGCGAGTTTCATCTTTTTGGCAGGATTCAGTTCATCTGTAATTGTAAACCCTTGAATCTTGATACAAGCTGAAAGTAGGTCTATTACATTGGCGTAACAGTGAAACTCTTTGGATGAGAACTAGGGCTCTGAGATTTGCTCGTGAAATGGATAGAGGAGTTCAGCCTATTTTTGCAGATAACTGATGACATTGTTAATGGAAACCGACTTCTGCAGATAACTGATGTTGTAATAGAGACCGGCAGAAAGGAACTGTCAGTGATCAAACTTAGAATAAAATACACCGCATGCTACTAAAATCTACGAATTGGTGAGTAACTACTAAAATCTGCGAATTGGTGAGTAAAATACATAACATACAACTAAACTTGAATCGTTGAACTCATTTCAATTACCATGAATGAAATAAAATATTTTTAGTGTTAAACTATTTTGTGATCCCAATAATGAAAGTTACAATTTACCCTTAAAATTTTATTCATTTCAATTTTTCACTATTTTCAATTCAATCCGATTTTACGAACCGGCTATGTCCCCTCCAATTGTCACCAAAATTTTGTTTTTTTTTTTTATATAACAAATTGTCACCAAATTTCAGCTCATCTCACGGTGGGAATTTTGCTCAGCTCGTGCTAAAGGTAACTCCCTTCGGCAGCTCGGCCAAAACCCGGGTCTGCATATAAATTCGGCCATCCGTCCTCAACTAACTCTGAAGTCTGAACACAAACGGAGAGAGAGAGAGAAATGGCGTTGAGAGCAGCTTTGATTCGCCACCTTCGGGTTCCCGTCCAAACCCTATCCCCCGCCGGCCGAGTCTCTCAGCCGTCGGTGGCCAACAGCCTCTTCGGTTCCACCCGGTTCATGTCATCGCACGACGACCATCTCAGCAAGGAAGATGTCGCCGACAGAGTCCTCTCCGTCGTCAAGTGCTTCCCTAAAGTCGACCCATCCAAGGTCCGTCTCTCCGTCGATTACCTTTCTTTTCCCCCGATGTCTTCTTCTAGACTTCCGTAGATCCGTTCCTTATACTTACACCTTTTGTTATAGCATTTCGCTAGGATTCAGATTCTTTCATTTCTGCCTCTCTAGGGTTTATTGCTGTTTTAGAGGATGGTCATTTTTGAATGAAGTGATTAATTGCAAGTCTAGTAATATGCCGTTGTAGATCCGACCCGTGATGATCATCGAGATGACCTGAGGAAGTGAAGTGAATCTTCACTCTCTGATCGTTTAGATGCGGATGGGAATGGGTTACTCAAGAGAGGTACCGTCCCTTAATCAGTGAGTCTATTGACCTTTAGTAGAGGGCATTAGGCAAATATCAAGACTTGGTTAGCAAATGATACCATGTGGGCAAGTTCGTATCTTAATTGAAGCAGATTTACCCTGGAGGTTGCAAACATAGATGTGGAAGGCCTAATTCGCAAGAACCGTTGAATTTTGATACATAATTAGTGTGGTCCGGAAAGATGAATTGGTACAAACAACATTTTGATTCTCCCTAGATGAGAGATGTTTCAGACTCTATGCTGATGTCCATGGGACTTGAAAGTAGTTCTTAATTCACTGTCTTACTTTGCATTGTGTAGCTTTGCATTTGCTTTTCTCATGCAACACTTGATTACTGATGTCAGAACTTCAGTTTGAATGTCACTGCCCATGTAGCTTTATTGATTGTATTGTTGATTGAGAAGAGTTCTTATTATCTCCAGTCTTTTTAAGTTGTTTGGTTCTGCAATGCATGACACCCGCTGTTGATTATTTCCTAGGATTCACTGGATCGTCGCTAGGATTCAAAATGTTTCATTTCTGCCTCTCTAAGGTTTATAGCTGTTTTAGAGGGTGGTCATTTTTTAATGAAGTTATTAATTGTAGTCTAGTCATATGAGGATGTAGATCCGATCCATGATGATCGTCGAGATGACCTAAGGAAGTGACGTGAATCTAATAGTTTAGATGCGGGTGGGATGGGATTAATCAATAGAGATACCGGCCCTTAATCAGTGAGTCTATTGACCTTTAGTAGATGGCATTGGGCAAATATCAAGACTCAGTTAGCAAATGAACTGTGTTAAGAATATCTCCTGGCCTCTCTTGCTATTATGTGCCTAGCTCAGTGGCGGAGCCAGGAAATTTATATAGGGGTGTCCTCTTTCAAAAATTAAATAAATAATTAAACAATTTTAAATTAGAAAATATCTAACTAATACAAGTTACAACAATAGTCTACGGCGTGTTACAAAATATACTCAGTGTCTGGACGGCTCAACAAATACCTCCATCTTACTATACAATCATTCACAAACTGATCATTTAATCAATTTCGAAACTTGTTCTTAAAGTTTCCCAAAACTAAATATGTTATTTCAACACATGTAGTTGCAATCGGTAAAATCAATTACTTTGAGAAGCAAGTAAACCAATGGATATGATAGAATGGAGGGAATAAGGATAACCCGTAATCAGGTTCAATTGTTAGATTTTCAAAATAATTGGGAGAAGGAATATCATTTTTACTATTAAACTAGTGTTTAAAATACAATAACAAATGAGTTGTGGTCTAATGAAAAACATGTTTACTAATAATCTTAGTATCCTAATTTAAATCACCTAGTCTACCACTTATATTTTTTATCCACACGAAAACTACTACCGGGGGTTGGATAATCATTATCCCAAAAACTAGGGGTGTCCTGGGACACCCCCAATATCCCCTGGCTCCGCCCCTGGCCTAGCTCATCGCCCTTGAGAGATTTCTGGCAAGATCTTATGCTAGTTAATCTTAAATGAAGCAACTTTACGTCTTGACCCTTGAGGTTGCCAGGCATAGATGGGGAAGGCCTAATTCACACAGAACTGTTGAATTTCGATACATAATCAGTGTGGTCCGGAAAGATGGACTGGTTTTCTAACAGCATTTTGATTCTCTCTTGAGGAGAGATACATCAGACTATGCTGATGTCCATGGGAATTGAAATTAATTCTTAGTTCACTCTCTCTTGGGGGTTATCTTAATCTACTTTGCATTATGTAGCTTTGCATTCGCTCCTGCAACAGTCGATCATTAAAGTCAGAATGTCAGTTTGAATGTCACTCACTGCCCATGGTAGTGTTATTGATTGTATTGTTGGGGGACAAGAGTTCTTTTTATCTACTTATTTGTTTCTGCTTCCATGAAACCCGCTGTTGATTTTTCCCTAGTATTGGATACACTTGATGACAGTTGAATCTGCAATCGTTTGTGCCTGCAGGTGACTCCGGATGTACATTTCCAGAGTGATCTAGGGTTAGACAGCTTGGACAATGTCGAGATTTTGATGGCTTTGGAAGAGGAATTCAAGCTGGAGATTCCAGACAAGGAAGCCGACAAGATCGATTCCTGCAAACTTGCTATTGAGTACATTCATAACCACCCAATGGCTAGTTGAAATTACATGAGGCTCTGTTCATGAGTTTTTTTTTTTGGGTTTTGTTGCGGTTCTTTTCCAGTGGACATGTATCAGCTGTATTCATGTTGAGACTTTGCTGTTGCTTTGTTCCATTTTGAATTAGTTCTCCAAAAAAAATTGGTTGAGAGAATAATCTGAAACTGGTTTCTTTATAGGAGTAGAGCTTTGGGTTATTGCTTTGCTGGGCCTGTGACTGTGTTACTGGAACACCCAAAGTTTTCTTTCATGCCGTTGATTTTGGCATCTTGAAACTCTTGTTTTCTTCTTTCTTCCTCTTGTATGAATACTCTCCTCTCTCCGCCGTTGATCTCAAAGTTCAAATGTTGACGATTGTGCCACTTCTGTGTAAAATCTACAATATGACTACTAAATCGCAATTGAAAGTGGTGGTTTACGCTGTTTTGCTATACAAAATACAACAGCTTCTGTAACCCTAGCAACTACGGCTACATATATAACACAACTTACAAGAAGAGATCCCCCACCAAAATTCTCCCCAATTGTACAACAGAGAGCCACCTTAAACTCTTCTCAAAGCTGAAGTGCTGAACTAGTGTTGCTTGCTTTACAGGTAGGCTACCAATTACTTGTGATGGACTTGAGTTTGATTCCATACCTCCGAGGAAATGCAGTCTTCCATAGTAAAAGCAACAAAAAAGCAGACTACAAACACTTTCCATCCAACTCTGGTCCTCGGTTTTCTTTTATCGTCTAACTGGTCCTATGCCAAATCGATTTGATTCTGGTCTGAAACGGACCAAGCTCAACCCCATGAGAAAAGCTTATGTGCTTGTTCATGTATTGCTTCAATCATCTATAAAACTGTACCTAGCTTGTTCCCCTGAACTGAGCAATATGTTCTTGCGAGCCCACCCGAGTTCAGCCATCTGATCATCTAATAGGTTCAAACTCCTCTCTGCTGCTACCTTAGTGTCCTCCAATAGCTTACACCACTCCCTCACAACCAAGTTTGAAGGGGAGCTCTCTATAGCAGCAATCACCCACCTACTGCTCAAGAGCAGTGCTCTACGTATGTAGCATGCCTGAATTACAGTATCATGGTCATCACAAAGCATGATTAATAGAGGAACCTAGTTAGTAAATGAGTGCAAACTAAGGATGTTTTTTGTTGTTGTTGTTTTGGGCTCAAAACAAAGGTTGCTTAAAAAATTATGCAATGCCACATCTCTATATATACCTGCAACAAACCTTTCGTCACATCAGCAGTGCCAGCTCCTTCACGTAGACAAAGGAAAAGACCAGGCTAAAAATTCGTCGTCACACAAAAGAGGAAAAGTGAGGCAAAAAGATATCATGGAAAAGTTTTCGTAATGACCAAGACACATTGGGAAAATGTTGAGTGATAGCATACTTGTCTGGTTTGTGGGAGTAGCCCCCCACGGATGTTCTCCACGCTAATGAAGTAATAGTCCTCACTTTTTAAAGACTGCATTGCCATCATTGAAAGTTTTGGTATCTGCTGATCAACGGTTAGGTTACCAATTCTAATGGGCCATGATTGCTTCCCTGAGTAAGGATACAAAACAGGCCACCACAAAAGCAGATTACATACTAATAGGCTGCACAACAGATGGAAAAAAAACAGAGCGATTAAAAGGTGGTAAACGAAAATAAAAGACTCACTTCTGCTTCTGAAGATACCGACTCCTTCCTCTTTACTGACTTCTTCAGGTGAAGGCACACATCCTGATCTGATCCACGTATCTAGGATAATTTCAAGTCTATCCTGTACAATGTTTCAATTGTAGATCTTAGGAAATTTTGCTCGGAACTAAATGGTCTCATTCAAGTACCATTTATGTTGACGAGTAAGGTTCTTAAACTCTATGGCCAATATCACAGGCAAAATACACAGTTCTAGCATAAACATACATACCTTAGTTAATGTCTGCAGATGGACATGCTTAAGCCCTTGATATATTCCAAAGACATCAACAGCAGCAAAAAATGGATAGACTAAAAAAGGCAGACTTGTAAGCAGTTTCGGGTTTTTCTTGAATGATAAGTTCAAGATTGCAGCAAGCAGGAGGCCAAGACTGTCAAAGCAGACTGATTGTATCTGAAATCCACAGTAAACCATATAAATCATTATAACAGCTCAAGTCAGCTCGATCAATATAAAGAATAATAGAACAAATAGTCAGGATAAATCAATTACCTGTGCCTTTGCAGAAACTTCACCAAGGTTACCCGCTACTGCAAAACTTCGATGAACAGCAGACTGCATATATATGCCATAAGAGAAAGGTCATTCTCACAACAATCTCATGAGAAATGGATAGCAAAAGAATGGAAACTTTAGGGGGAAAAGTACTTACACTAGTGGCCAAGTAACAGGCCAAGCTAATTTGTTTGGCAATATTAGCCACAGTAGCTAGAAGCAGGAAGTACTGTGGAAATACAGGGGTCAGCATCTCAACTCCAATACTCAGGCTGAACATAACCGATGTCGAGAACCTGACCCTCTACAATACAAACCAATTCAATAGAAAACAGGGCAAACCTCGATCAGAAAATTATACAGCTGGCAGCTTCAATCTTTCACAAGTTGCCATGCCTAAATAGTTGTTAGTACCTTCAAATTCGTATCGAATGCAGATGCCAGGCTTGCGGTATAAATGCACCTACTTAGTCGACCAAGTCCGTCCTTCAATACCCAGTTGAAAGCAGCTGCTGATGGTAGTGATCGAGAAAACCCTATGCCTATAGCCCTAAACATGGCCTAGTACCCACCAACACACAAATAAATGGATATTGATGTCGCAAGCCATTTCATTTAACTTCAAACATCACAATTCAAGTGGGCAAATCAATAGAAAGCAGAACACTTTTCATTCAAGAACCCCAACCTAGCTTCCAAAATCCATCAAATTTAAGATTGACTGGCAATTAGAGACTTCTACCTGAGTGGCGAGAACCTGCAAAGCAGAGCTGAAAACCCTGTGCAAGAGCTTCCATTTCACATACTGCATGTAATTCTCAGTGACACGTTTGGGAATAAACACATTTCTCAGTGCTAACCCGGAAATCCGAAACAGTTGCCGGAATCCATCCTCGAAACACATAGCCGCCCCACCGCCGCCGCCATCAACGCTCTCCAAGTTCAAGCGGCTCCCATCCCATGTGTATCTGGAGACCCGACCCGATTTCCGGACCACCACGGGGAGCTTGGCAGGCGAAATTGGTCCTGTTTTCGGTCCGGGTTCCGGGGGACCGGTGTTGTCGACGTCTTCTTCGGGTCCATAGTTGATTGAGGTGGTAAGAGAGCGCGTCAAAGTCAAGGTTTTGGAGGGGGGTTTGATGATGGGATTCAGAGAAATGGGTTTTCGGGGGAACTCATCGGATTTCCATGGTGGGAAGCAGAGCTGGCGGGAACTTGTTGAAGAGAATACCGCCGGTTGCATGAAAATTTTAAGCGACCCTCAAAGTAGAAGTCGTAAAATTTCCAACCCCGATTATTCTTAGCAGAGGGGTAGCGTTAATCTGTAGAGAATATAGGAAGACAGCTGAAAGCAGAGCAAGTAGCAGAGGGCAAAGGCAAGAGGCTCTCTTTCGTACACGGAGGGAGGAGGCGATTGCGGGTTGCGGCTGCGAAGATGGCAGCTATTTTGTGGTTTCCCCCTCTTCCTCCCCCTCCAGTGAATCGTACGATGCCGTTTAGTTTCTTCCAATCATGTTTTGACTTGTGACTTGTGAGTAGGCTGAGTAGAGCTATTTTAGTGGTTCGGTATTGAACTCGATAAAAGTTCGTTCGATTAAAAAAAAACCTCGGTTCGTTAATAAACGAGTCGAGTTTGAGCTCTACCTTGTTCAGCTTTTGAAGCTCTTGAATTAGCTCGATTAGGTGGTTCGTTGAATACAACTCATGAACTGTCTCGTTTTGAACTTATGAGATGTCCCAACATTGTGACTAGAGAGCAAACTCGACTATGGCTTATGAAAAAATCAATATATATTTTATGAGTTAGTTTGTTAATGATGTATATAATTATTAAATTGTATATATCACCTCATATGGTGTTTAATACATTGAGTATATGTAACCAAATACGTCTCATATATGACATAACATTAGGTAATCACATGTATCACATATCTTAGAATTGAGCTCGAGCCGAACTTTCGATGTTAATGATGTGTTAAGATTTAGGGCTAATACCACTAGGAAACCCGAACTATGAAGAATGTGTCATTTGTGTCCTAAAGTATCCAATATGACATTTGTGTCCTGACATATGATAGTTGTGTGTCATTTACGTTCTGACAATTTCGTTAATCGTTATAGATAACGGTTGACCAAACGGTCAACCATAAAATGTTGACTGTTGTTTACATGACACATATATGAGAGCCACGTCAGCTGCCACATCATGTTATTATTTTTAAATTAAAATAAAATTAAAATTAAAATTAAAATTAATCCCTTTTTCTTCATCTCAGATTCACCATCACCGTTCAAATGGTGAACACACGATGGACAAGGGACAGATTCTGTTCAATCTTGCTACGAAGAAGGAATTGGGGGTGGGAGATCAATGCAGCGGCGGCGGGTGGCGACGAAGAAGAATTGGGGGGAGGAGATGGATGCAGAGGCGGCGGGTGGTTGCGAAGAAAAGAATTGGTGGTGGGAGGTCGAACGCTGGCGCCGCCGGCGACGAAGAAGAATTGGGGGGAGGAGATGGATGCAGAGGCGGCGGGTGGTTGCGAAGAAGAAGAATTGGTGGTGGGAGGTCGAACAAAATGCTATGTGAATGCTAGCAGGTCCATTGGGTGGACAAGCTTGATTGAGCAAGCAGCTGTTGGAATAATAGAAGCAAGCAGGTGGCCGGTGAAGTTCGTATCCACAATTGCTATCTAGCATCTGAAAATGGGAATGGAATTGGAAGTTGCGGACAGGGGGAAGCAAGCTCGTCAAGCTAGCAGGTCTGGAATTGGGCATTAATTGGTGATGAATTAAATGGATAAGCTTTCACAAAGCTCAATCAAGCAAGCAAATCGCGACCCTGCAACTGCAATCCCGCTCCTCGCCCTCCCCGTCGGCGCTGCCCGCTCCTGCTCCAGCACAGCTCCGCCTCCTCCTCCCCTTGCGCTCCTCCCTCCGCCAATTCTAAATCGACAAAACTGGTGGGAGACCCTTCTGCATCCTCTGTGAAAACAACAATACAATCAACAGGCCCTTCCCGGACTCAGAGACCCGCCGGACAGCGTTGGTGTTGAAGAGACGGGACGAAGATGGAGTGACGGCTTCCATCAGGCGATGAAGGTTGGGGAAGATGTATGTGGCTGACCGAGGTCGGAAACCTTCCAAATCGCCGAGGAGGAGGAGGAGGATGAAAGCTCGTACCCCTTCCAAATCTCCGACCCCTTCTAAACCGTCGTACCCCTTCCAAATCGTCGCCGCAGATCTAATTTCAACCCTTCTGTGTCTTGGTTTCATTGGATCTGGATTTCTGGGTTTCATTGGATTTGCAGCGGCGGCGAGGCTTCAACGGGAGCAGCGATTTCAGGTTGCGGCGGTCGAGGTTCAACGGGAGTAGTGGTTTTCAGGTTGCGGCGGCGGAGGTTGGGAGAAGGGAGAGGGAATGGTAATTTGTATGTTTATTTTGTAATTTTTTTTTATTTTCTTATATGGAAATAATTATAATAAATCAATATTATAAATTCCACTTCAGATGCCACATCATCACTGGCTAGACTTTCTGTTAAAAACTAACGGTCAACCCTGGTAAACTCTAACGGGAAAATAGTTTAGGACACAAATGTCATATTGGATACTTTAGGACACAAATGGCACATTATTCATAGTTCGGGTTTTCTAGTGGTATTTGCCCTAAGATTTAATCAATGAGCTGGCTCGTGTTCAACTCGACTCGTTTATAAACGAGCCGAACATGAAGAAGTCAAAACTCGGCTCGGCTCGACTCATTAACAGCCCTACTTGTGAGTAGTGATGACAAATTAGCAATGGGGCGTGGCAGGGCGGGTAAGCGGGTACCTCAATTCCCATGTCCCGCCCCACGCTACTGCGAGCCGGGGCAGATAATATCCGCAAGGGGACGAGCAAAATTTTACTTTTTACGAGAAACTGAAGGATAAAGCACTTTATGAATAAAAAATAATGAAAATAGAATGGGTAATTGAGTCTAATTAGTTGAAGAAAAGTCAAAATAGGAGAAATATGAATAGATACTCTAAGAAATTGAGATAGAATGGGCCAAGAACGGGCGGGAAGGGTAGGATGGGTTCAAATTGTCATCCCTAATTGTGAGACCTACACCAAGTTTGGGTATTAAAGTGTAAGAAATGGGGGAGGTGTGTGGGAACGTGTTAAATGAGATGGGGAAGTGGTCAATTCAAGAGCAGGTTTTGTGGCTCGACCAACCAAAAAACTCTGCGTCGAACTTTAGCCCCTTCGAGTTGGCTATGAAGCTTCCTATTCTCTCCAACTCAATTGAGTGTCATTCACTCCTCTCTCCGTTGGTCAAGTTCTAACCTCTCCTTATCGATGGATTGACTTTTAACCTCTTATTTCAGTCGAGTATATTGCATAACCTCCCTCAAAGTTTGAGAAAATAGGGAGTGTACTATAGAGATTTTGGGAAAGAAAATGAAACTAAAAGGGTCGTTTGGTTTTGGTGATAGTTTGGTTGGGATAGTTACAATGCATGTATTGTCCACAATGCATTGTTTTTTCGAATTTTCTGCACAAACAATACATGCATTGTTTGCTTGATATGACACAAACTATCACTCAAAATGAGTGATAGTTAAATCTCAACTTTTTGGTGAGATTGTTGAGATTTTTTCATTGAGATTGTTGGGTTTTTTCTTTCTTCCAACTATGTCCCTACCTTTTTATGTGTGTTGCTATTTTATTTATATTAAAAACAAAGAATAAAAGTGACATTTCACTCAAAAAGTAATATTACTTATTTAAATTCTACAATAACTATCGTAGAAACCAAACGATATAAACTACAATACTTTAATTTTCTAATACATATGTATATTATTATGCATGCATTGATGACAATGCATTAGTTTAACTATCACCAAAACCAAACGACCCTAAAATATCGATCACATTGCCACAGACACATGTAGATGGGGATACGAAGGTGTGGTTTGACAGGCTCCAATATTTTTTATTTCACAATTACAAACCGATATTAATGGGCCCATTGCTTGATTAATGACAATCCATGATGGTTCATGGGGAAGTTTTTCAAAGCGTATTGGGACATTGTGGGTGCGTCTGTGGTTGAGGCTGTCCGCTCGTTTTTCCAAACAAGCAGGATATTGCGAAGTTTCAACCATACCTGGCTCACTTTGATCCCCAAAGTGGATAATGTGGAATCTATACGCCAACTCCGACCTATCAGTTTATGCCAATTTGTGTATAAAATTATCACAAAAATCATGACTGAGAGGCTAGCTTGTATACTTCCACAGATAATTTCAGAGCGTCAAAATGCATTTATCCAGGAAAGGCAGATTGTGGAGAATGTTCTGCTGGGGCATGAGCTTATGCATTACCTAAAAATCAAAAACCGTGGGAAGAAAGGGTACATGGCTCTGAAGGTTGATATGGAAAAAGCCTATGACAGAGTCGAGTGGCCCTTTCTCTTTGCAGTTTTGAAGAAGTTAGGTTTTGATCAAACTTGGATTGGGTGGGTTAGAGAGTGCCTACGGATGCTATCTTTCTCGATCATGATGAATGGCACACCCTATGGGTTTTTCAAGCCGACCTGGGGTCTTCGTCAGGGTGACCCGCTTTCCCCTCTACTCTTTGTTTTGTGCACTGCAGGGTTTGCAGCCCTGCTCCGTCGCACTGTCTCTGAAGGGAAATTGGAGGGGATTAAGGTGGCCCCTCGAACACCGCGGATTTCACATTTGTTTTTCGTGGACGATTCATACTTGTTTTTACGAGGATCACTGACTCGATGTGAGAATCTGATCGATGTACTAAATGAGTATGGGGAGCTGAGTGGGCAACGGGTGAACTTGGAAAAATCGGCGGTGTGTGTTTAGTAAGAATGTAGCCATTCCGGATTAGGAGATCTTAGCGCAGATCCTGGGTGTGGCCGCGGTAGGAGTGCAGGATAAGTATTTGGGTTTACAAACCCTCATTGCCCAATTTAAGATGACTACGTTTCGGTATGTGGAGGAAAGATTGATAGCTCGACTTCAAGGGTGGGCTCGACGTACATTGTCTTTGACGGCTAAGGAGATACTTCTCAAATCAGTTGCCTCGGCCCTGCCTTTTCATGTTATGTCTTATTTTAAGCCCCCTCTCTCATTGTGTCGTGCATTGGATAGACTTGTGGCCAGGTTCTGGTGGGGAGTGGAGGATGGAAGGGCTCGCCTACGGTGGATGTCATGGAGGAAAATGTGTCGGAGTAAGCATGATGGAGGCACGAGGTTCCGTCGGTTTGAGCACTTTAATCAAGCTCTCCTGGCAAAAATTGGGTGGCGCTTTCTGGAGGACTCATCTTCTCTGCTGGCTCGGGTTTATAAAGGGAAATATTTTCCGACAGGCTCCTTCCTCAGTGCTATAGCTCGGTCCCGTCCGTCGTGGGGGTGGCAGAGTGTGCTCTATGGGCGGTAGCTCTTGCTGCGGGGTCTCCGTTGGCAGGTTGGGAATGGGTGCTCTGTGTCGGCCCTAGAGGAAAGGTGGATCCCGGCGTTGCATCCTCAGCCTCCCCTAGCTAACCCCCTTGTACTTCCCAGTGAGGGATCCCTGAAGGTTGCCGATTTGCTGTGCCCAGGGGAGGGACGTTGGTAGGATGAGAAGTTTCGCCAGTGGTTTTCTCCTGCTTCGATCAAGGCGATTCCCCTGTCTAGGCAAGATATTGAGGATAAACTAATTTGGCACGAGACATGTGATGGGGGTGTTTACGGTCAAATCTGCGTATCACTTGGCCGTCTTGGCTGATGCTCAACAGGGTCGCTGGGGCTCCACGGTTAGCTTGATGGACCGTCCAAGATGGATTCGGTTGTGGGGTTTGCCAATTCCTCCCAAATTAAAGATCTTTCTGTGGTAGGTCATGCACCGGTTCCTTCCGACTTCGGAAGCTCTTCGTGAGAAGGATGTCATGGTCCATCCCCGGTGTCCGGTTTGTTGGGGGGCGTCGGAAACTATGGAGCATCTTTTTCTGGATTTCCCAGTGGCTAGGACTCTTTGGGAGCTTGCGGGGTTGGGGCATCTTGGTGAAGGGCTACCCCGACATACGTTCCCGTTGTTTCTCAAAAAGTTGCTAATGCTCCTTCGCGGCCCTGATGAAGTAATGTCAGTTGTGGCTCTCCTTTGGAGGATTTGGAAGTCCAGGAACTGGGTTGTCTTTGAAGGCAAACAGTTTGCTTTTCCTTCTCTCTTGCGCCAGTTTCATCAACAGGTGGAGGAGTGGACCTCTCTGCCCGCCCCAAGGGTTAAGGCTGCACCTATGATGGAAGGAGAGGAGACGGTTCCTGCTAATCCTGGCACTTTAGTCTGCCGTTGGGACGGAGCGACCAGGCGGGGGTCTCACTCTGCTGGAGGGATGGTACTTCTAGATCAAGGTGGGTTCCCCCTGATGGCTTCGGCGGTCCATTTCCCTAGGATGGATGACCCCATGGTCGTGGAATTGCTTGCTCTCCGTGAGGCCACGTTATGGTGTACCCAGCGAGGTCTCGGACAAGTACGATTTGAGGGTGATGCTCAGGTGGTGATCAATCGGCTCGCGAAATCCCCGGTGCAGGATAGTCATGCGTGTGCTATATTTCAAGAGGTCCAGCGGTGTCTGGCGGAGCAGGAAGGTTTTAGTGTCTGGTTTGTAGGTCGGCGTAGTAATAGGGTAGCCCATTTGGTGGCTCGCAAAGCCCTTTCTTTGTACCCGACGACGAGTCGTTCGTTTGATTTTGTGGCCTGGTTGAGGCACATGCTGTAATTGTCTATTTTTCCATATCAATATATGATTATCTTTTGTCAAAAAAAAAAAAAAAAGACAATCCATGAACTATAAACAATTTTTTTTGCCTTCCCATTCATGCAAGAAATCTGGACCTTTAAATTTGAGTGAACTCAGAAAATTAAAATCTAAAGTGGGAGATTTAATAATAATCTTTAATTTTTTCTAGTTTTTTAATAAAATCTTATCTTTTTCGTTCTAACTTAGATTGCAAAATTGTTCGCACAGATGGAACGAGTTCGTTGTGATCTTCAAAATGAGATTCATTTTCAATATATTTCGACAAAAATAATTCATATCACTCGTTACCACCTTCGTCTTAACTCGAATTTTGAAATTTTTTGCACAGACAGAATGATATCTTCTTAATCTATTGGATCTACAAATTTATAGGGGGGGGGGGGAATACAGCACTATAACGTAACACTCCGTACCACCCTGGTATAACTAGTGGTACGCAATGATGAATGTGGCAGTTCGTATTTCCTATTATCATGTACTTCAACCATCCTACATTATGTTATGTTCATACCACCATGGTACACTTCCGTGCCATGTGGTATAATCTTATGTAGTACCAAGCAGTACCACCATGGTATAAACTGGTACTAATATCTCGATTTTTGTTCCAAAAATATATCAAAGTGTATATCATTGTACAAAACACAATTTATCTCATTTATCTATGCAAAAAAATTAAATTATGCCTTGAAATGAAAGAGATATAGCCCGTTAAAATTTATAGGAAAAATCGTCAGAGGTCTTCCATATATGGTGATGTGATGCTGAAGTGGTAGGTTATGGAGGGTTATAAACCACAAGGTTATGCGCCTAATACGCTCCAAGAAATTCGAATCTCCCAATCTCTGTTTTGGAAAGCATAAATTGCCAGAATGATAGGCCCCGAATACGGTGCATAACTTATTAGTAAATGATTATGCACCCATCAGTAACTAAATATGAACCCTTCCTTTTAAGTGGGCTAAGAAAATCCAGATATAAGGGTGTAGAATTATAGACATTTTCCCCTTGTTTTCTTAATCGGCTCATATCTTCTTCGTTTTAACTCGAATTTCAATATTTTTTTTTGCACAGATGGAACGAGTTCGTTGTGCTTTACAAAATGAGATCCATTTTCAATATTTTTTTAGAAAAAAAATTAATTCCTCTCGTTACCAACTGCATACCATATGATATCTTCTTCGTTTTTAAGTCGTTTTTGAAAATTTTAGCACAAAAAGAACGAGTTCATCATGATCTATTGGA